ACATTGGTACTGCAGAAGTAAATGAAGGAAAAGAGTGGGATTCAGCTGAACTCTCCCTAGACCATCTATGATAAGGCAGGTGTACACGCTAGCCTTCTGTGGCATTCCTTATCACATATCAAGTGTAGGACCAAAGAGACGATGTCCCTTGCAGGCAAAGCGATTCAGATTGTCTTTGGGAGTGGCATTAGCGTTCCAGCAACTTAACCATAACATTTGTATGCACTTTAGCCATACCTAGCTTAACAAGCTCAATTAAGAAGGGGTCCACCCAGTTGGTGGAGAGATCCTTTATGAGGGATCTAACCCATTCTACCATTTTTGACAGATTAATGTCACTGCCAACACAAGACTGAGGGAAGAACCTGCCAGATCAAACTGGGATTTAGAGAGAGATTTTGAATGCTGGTCAGGAGAATCTTTAAAAAAGGTAGGTATACACCACTTAACCAATTCCCATTCAAAGGGAAAAAAAGTTTAACCACACTCTCAGATGGAAGCTTAGGACCCTCCAGAGTACTTTATAGTACTTCAGTCCTCAGAGAAATACCTCAGATAGCATATGAAGTGGAAAGGTCTTTGCAGCTGTATGAGCTCTGAAAGGCTAAAGACAGCAGGTTGATCCTTCAAAACATAGGGTAGTATGCACTGCATCAATGGTCTGAAAGACCTCTTCAAATTCTGAGGTGAAGGCAATAGACTGTGAGGCCTCTCTTCAGAGTCCAAGATGGTCACAGCAATCAGTGGACCAGCTTGTGGAAAAGAAGGTGCCGTAGGCATGCTCAAAGCCTCTATGGAATGTACCCATGAGGAATTGAGTGAATTTAGTCACAAAGTACTGAGATGCAGTGGAGCCCCCTGAGAACAGGGTAGAGGACTTGGCCTCACCTGGCAGTGCTGAGAAAAACACTAATGGTGCAGATTCTATAACTACAGGGTCACTGGTCCTCTCAGATGACATCCAGTAGGAGTAGTAGAGTATGGCTGGGGTCGCCCATAGCAGTGGGCCTATCATCTCTGTATCTATGTGCAGAAAGGTTTTGCTTACGGGTCAGTGATGCAACTAGACCCAAAGTATGAGCCAAGGTGTCAGGTACTCACCTAGGCAGCTAATGCTAGGGTCAGATGGTCCAAGGTGACCAGGTCACTGTAAGCAGGCACTAGGAACAGACCAGTGACTAAGGTTCCATGTGATGCTTTCCAGGGCAGAGGCAGCAGCGGGATGGCACCTCCTCTATGCTGAACAGTGTGAAAAAAGAGATTGCAGAGCAAACAGGACACTCCACACAGCAGATAACATCAGAACTCAGTCACTCAGTGTGAACATTTTTTTATAATAGAACAATCAGAAGTGGAAAATTTGAAAGACGCCCAGCTGTGCAATAGCATGGTAGCTCCCAATTCCTCAGTGCAAATGGCATTACGCAACAAAGTGAGTCTTCAGAGCACGTAGGCAGCAACGTGGCTTTAGACCTGGAAAGAGCTGCTAACTTTTACCAGCAAACAAAGGTCTAGAAATCACTAGTCCCACATGTCCAGTCTAGCTGGGTCCAGGTACAGCACTCCAAAGTCTGGCAAAAGATTCATGAAAGTGACACCTTCATTTAACAGGGGACAAAGACACACAAGGCAACTGAAAGTATTTTTTTTTTCTTTAGCTCAAGCTACTGTTTTCCTCTGCAACTCTGAATACTGGCAAAATCTGTTATTGCAAAATACCAGGAAGTATCAGATGAGAATGTCTATTTCTAATAACAAAATCATTTTTATTTTACAGGGAATAAAAAAAGAAAAAAAATACAGTAGAAATAGCAACTCAATGGTCATCAAAAACACAAACTACTAAATCTACGTAAATACTAAAATGAAGTTTACATCTCAAGCTGGCTCAGAAGATAGACTGGATTATCTGCCATGTGAATCTAATAAAAGTTTGGCTATAAACATTCAGATTGCTATATTTACAAACATAAAAAGTTCAAGAAATATAACTTACATGTTCAATGATGAGTTCCTTTGAGAATGCAGACACTATTTTTTCGTGCGGCTATGCCAGCCTTGTGCCGAGTTTTATACTCCTCCTGCCAATCTGGAAGGTCCATTTGGTTGTAGTACTTGATTATTGATGGCCATCTACATAATACAATAAACACTAAGCTATCTTGTAGACATAGATGTTGGCATATTAGCATTTAAATATGGTGTCAGTTTTTGGGATGCAAAAACAAAAAATACCTCAAAACGATCAATGAAAACTGAAGCAATAGGAGTATAACACAATGCCAGTCCTGGAGGAACAGTATCACCCAACAATTTTTGGGAGTTTATTAGTTAACAGGTAATATTGAAGGATTCAGATTCCATTGAGCAAGGATAGCGTGTTTACATCCAAATCCTGGTTTCAAGATGGACATTTAGGGGTTTATTTACTAAAGCTGGAGAGTCCAAAATCAGACTCCCTTCTGCATAGAAACCAATCAGCTTCCAGGTTTCATTGCCAAAGCTTCATTGAACAAGCTGAGGTTAGAAGCTGATTGGTTTCTATGCAGAAGGGAGTCTGATTTTGGACTCTCCAGCTTTAGTAAATAAACCCCTTAAAGTGAGGTTGTTCAGTGCTGCCTTAGAATTCCAGAGCACCCATGTAGCTGCACTATAGACAGAGGAACTTGAACCAGCACAATTGTTTACTGTTCTTTACAGAGACAGGAGATATACGAGGTGTGACAATTTAATTCCCAGAATGCCCGTGGTGTAGCACTATGGTGAACAGTCACACAGCATTTGCACTTGAGTGTGTTCTGACATGTTCTAACTTGGACTCACTTGGGTCGCAGACCAGTTGACTCACACTTGTGTGTATTGTGCTCCTGGAGGAAAAGGAGTGACATATCTGGAGCAGTGGATTAACATCAAAGTTTGTGTGAAAATTGGCAAAAGTACAAGTGAAACTTTAGATCTGTTACAACAGGCTTATGGTGAACATTCCATGAATAAATCAAGTGTTTTTGAATGGCATAGGCGGTTTAACCACCTCCCACCCGCCAAATAGTAATATGACAGACGCAAGGTGGTTCTCTCGTTCTGGGAGGACGTTATATGACGTCCTCCCATTCTCACCGCGCATGCGCGGTGATTGGCGGTGTCCCTCGGACACAGCGGATCACCGATCACGGAAAGACCTGATGATGTCAGCTCAGTCATGTGATCAGCTGTGTCCAATCACAGCCGATCACACGTAAACAGGGAATTGCCTGTTATCGGCATTTCTCTCCTCACGAGCTGTCATGCTGACAGCTCGAGAGGAGAGAAGAGCCGGTAATCGGCTTTCTGCGGAGGGGACATGTACACTGATCATCAGGGCACTGATGATCAGTGTGCCCTGATGATCACTGTAGCCCCAGCAGTGCCACCTGTCAGTATCCATCACTGCCTTGTGCCAGTGCCCATCAGTGCCTACCAGTGCACATCAATGCCACATATCAGTGCCCATCTGAGCTGCCTTTCAGTGTCACCCATCAGTGCCAGTCAGTGCCACCTATCAATGCCTATCAGTTCCGCCTAACAGTGCTAGTCAGTGCCGCCTAACAGTGCCATGTATCAGTGATGCCTGTCAATGCCCATCAGTGCCACCTACCAGTGCCTCCCCATCAGTGCAGCCTACCAGTGCCCATCACTGCAGCCTCATTAGCGCACATCAGTGAAGGAGAAAAATCACTTATTTACAAAATGTTATAACAAAAACTAAGAAAAAAGGTTTTTTTCAAAATTTTCAGTGGTTTTTTGGTTTAAGAAAAAATAAAAAACCCAGAGATGATTAAATACCACCAAAAGAAAGCTCTGTCACAAAAAAATGATAAAAATGTCATATGGGTACAGTGTTGCACGACCGCGCAATTGTCACTCAAAGTGCGTGAAAGCTGGAAATTGGCCTGGGCAGGAAGGGGGTATAAGTGCCCTGTAGGCTTGTGGTTAAGGAGGAGCGGCAAGAGAACGCAAGAAGTCGGCAACTTGGATGCAAACGTGGACAGAGTGAGAACCCCAGTATGTTCAGATCGAAGATTGAGCATGTGAATGATGGCAGAAGAATTGATCATGGACAAGGAAACAGTGTGGAAGATTCTAATGAAGGATTTGGGAATGAGAAAGATTTCTGCAAAGATAGTGTTGACAGAAGATCACAAAGAAAATCCTCTTCAAATTTCATCTACTGTACAGGTAAGGAAACATTATTTTTAGTTTTTATAGTCCATTCCAGGGAGTAAATTGTCACATCTCGTAATGTAGACAGTTATTGAATTAAAATTGTTCTCATATCAGTCTGAAATGCACATAATACCAAAACAATATGCATATGAAGGTCTACTAGCCTGTGCATATAAATCACCAGGCAAAAAGCATTTCAAAGAATGGTCACCAATGGCAGCTTCTATGTTACTCTTTGACAGATTTCCTCTTAAATACGACATCATTCAGTACATGAAATCATTTATTTTATTTACATTTTTAATCACATTTACAGGAAGATTATTTCACCAGAAGATAGGAGCATGCAATAGGTTGGGAAAACCGAATACGCTGAACCCACTGTTTATGTGCCCGACATACTGGCCAAACCCTCAATTACATATAAAACTTCATATTCTGACCAATCCCTGATCTCCCTGTACCCTGTGCCACACTGACCAATCCCCGATCTCTCCATACCTTCTGCCGCAGTGACCAATCCCGATCTTCCCATACCTTCTCCCACACTGACCGATCCCCGATCTCCCCGTACCTTCTCCCACACTGACCGATCCCCGATCTCCCCGTACCGTCTCCCACACTGACCGATCCTCGATCTCCCCGTACCGTGTCCCACACTGACCGATCCTCGATCTCCCCGTACCTTCTCCCACACTGACCGATCCTCGATCTCCCCGTACCTTCTCCCACACTGACCGATCCTCGATCTCCCCGTACCTTCTCCCACACTGACCGATCCTCGATCTCCCCGTACCGTCTCCCACACTGATCGATCCTCGATCTCCCCGTACCGTCTCCCACACTGATCGATCCTCGATCTCCCCGTACCTTCTCCCACACTGACCGATCCCTCGATCTCCCCCTGACCGTACCTCGTCTCCCCACTCCCACACTGACCGATCCTCGATCTCCCCGTACCCTCTCTCCCACACTGACCGATCCTCGATCTCCCCGTACCTTCTCCCACACTGACCGATCCTCGATCTCCCCGTACCTTCTCCCACACTGACCGATCCTCGATCTCCCCATACCTTCTCCCACACTGACCGATCCCTGATCTCCCCGTACCTGCTCCCACACTGACCGATCCCTGAACCTTTTCCCACACTGACCACTCTCTGATCTCCCTGTACCTTTTCTCACACTGACCACTCTCTGATCTCCCTGTACCTTTTTTCCCACACTTACCGATCCTCGATCTCCCCATACCTGCTCCCACACTGACCGATCCCTGATCTCCCCGTACCTGCTCCCACACTGACCGATCCCTGAACCTTTTCCCACACTGACCACTCTCTGATCTCCCTGTACCTTTTCTCACACTGACCACTCTCTGATCTCCCTGTACCTTTTCCCACACTTACCGATCCTCGATCTCCCCATACCTGCTCCCACACTGACCAATCCCCGATCTCCCCGTACCTGTTCCCACACTGACCAATCCCCGATCTCCCCGTACCTGCTCCCACACTGACCAATCTCTCTGTACCTTTTCTCACACTGACCACTCTCTGATCTCCCTGTACCTTTCCCCCCACACTGACTGATCCTCGATCTCCTCATACCTGCTCCCACACTGATCGATCCCCCTGTACCTACTCCCACACTGACCAATCCCTGATCTCCCTGTACTTTTTCTCACACTGACCACTCTCTGATCTCCCTGTGCCTTTTCTCACACTGACCACTCTCTGATCTCCCTGTGCCTTTTCTCACACTGACCGCTCTCTGATCTCCCTGTGCCTTTCCCACACTGACCGCTCTCTGATCTCCCCTGTGCCTTTCCCCACACTGACCGCTCTCTGATCTCCCTGTGCCTTTCCCCACACTGACCGCTCTCTGATCTCCCTGTGCCTTTCCCCACACTGACCGCTCTCTGATCTCCCTGTGCCTTTCCCCACACTGACCGCTCTCTGATCTCCCTGTGCCTTTCCCCACACTGACCGCTCTCTGATCTCCCTGTGCCTTTCCCCACACTGACCGCTCTCTGCTCTCCCTGTGCCTTTCCCCACACTGACCGCTCTCTGATCTCCCTGTGCCTTTCCCCACACTGACCGCTCTCTGATCTCCCTGTGCCTTTCCCCACACTGACCGCTCTCTGATCTCCCTGTGCCTTTCCCCACACTGACCGCTCTCTGATCTCCCTGTGCCTTTCCCCACACTGACCGCTCTCTGATCTCCCTGTGCCTTTCCCCACACTGACCGCTCTCTGATCTCCCTGTGCCTTTCCCCACACTGACCGCTCTCTGATCTCCCTGTGCCTTTCCCCACACTGACCGCTCTCTGATCTCCCTGTGCCTTTCCCCACACTGACCGCTCTCTGATCTCCCTGTGCCTTTCCCCACACTGACCGCTCTCTGATCTCCCTGTGCCTTTCCCCACACTGACCGCTCTCTGATCTCCCTGTGCCTTTCCCCACACTGACCGCTCTCTGATCTCCCTGTGCCTTTCCCCACACTGACCGCTCTCTGATCTCCCTGTGCCTTTCCCCACACTGACCGCTCTCTGATCTCCCTGTGCCTTTCCCCACACTGACCGCTCTCTGATCTCCCTGTGCCTTTCCCCACACTGACCGCTCTCTGATCTCCCTGTACCTACTCCCACACTGACCACTCTCTGATCTCCCTGTGCCTTTCCCCACACTGACCACTCTCTGATCTCCCTGTACCTTTCCCCACACTGACTGATCCCTGATCTCCCTGTACCTTTTCCCAAACTGACCGATCCTCGATCTCCTTATACCTTTTCCCACACTGACCACTGCTTGATCTCCCCGTACCTGCTCCCACACTGACCACTGCCTGATCTCCATGTACCTTCTCACGCTGACTGATCCTCGATCTCCCCGTAACTTCTCACACTGACCGATCCCTGATCTCCCTGTACCTTCCCACACTGACCGATCCTCGATCTCCCCGTAACTTCTCACACTGACCGATCCCTGATCTCCCTGTACCTTCCCACACTGACCGATCCTCGATCTCCCCGTAACTTCTCACACTGACCGATCCCTGATCTCCCTGTACCTTCCCACACGATCCTGACCGATCCTCGATCTCCCCGTAACTTCTCACACTGACCGATCCCTGATCTCCCTGTACCTTCCCACACTGACCGATCCTCGATCTCCCCGTAACTTCTCACACTGACCGATCCCTGATCTCCCTGTACCTTCTCACACTGACCGATCCCTGATCTCCCTGTACCTTCCCACACTGACCGATCCTCGATCTCCCCGTAACTTCTCACACTGACCGATCCCTGATCTCCCTGTACCTTTTCCCACACTGACCGATCCCTGATCTCCCTGTACCTTCTCACACTGACCGATCCCTAGGTCATGGTTACCCTCTCACACCCGATTATTCTCTCACCGAGTAAACAGCTGCTTCCTCCATATTTTCCCCCGGGTGGCACACACCGCTCGGAGCCGTCTGCAGACACACTACTGACGCTGGCGATGTCCCTGTAGTCTAGATCCCCCTTACATAGGATGAGCTCCAGCAGCTCCTCCGGCAGCACCGCCACCCGGGCACACTGGCAGTGTCCTGTCCTCATCTGCCGGGGAGCAGCAGCTCGCCGTACTGGCCGAGGAATCGCTATCATCGTGCAGACTGCTCTTTGCATCTTCAGCAGTCAAGGCAGCAGCCATCTTTTGTTTACATGGCCTACACGTTATAGGAGAGCCGGTGGTCGCCGTATGATGACGTGTGTGCGGGGTTGTATAATCCCATAGCAGGCCAGAGGGAACAGTGAGTGGGGGCAGGGAGAGAACAGTGAGTGGGGGCAGGGAGGGAGCTCGGACAAAGCTCTCATAGGGACTGGTATGGTGAGGGACGTTGTGTGGAAGTAATTCGGGTTTCTTCCTTCGATAAATTATACTATAAAGCAACCTTTGTCAATAGTTTACCCATGAAGAAGTATTTGACATAATGTCCGTGTCCTAGGGAACACCTACTACAGCATTGCAGTGTGTTCCGTTCATGAAGGGGATTCGGCAGCATATCTACCAAGAGGCAAACAAGGCGTTTGCCTGGGGCAGCAATTTTTAGAGGGGGGTCAGCAATTTTCAGGGGGGCAGCACCACCCCTTTACTGTGATGAGGCAGCGGCTTCCGCAACAAGCTCATCTGAGCTCCCTGCTGCCCCCATTGTCTCCTGCAGGTTCCCCGCTCTTGCCCCTGCACACTGGGCCGATACCCCTGTCCCCAGCACTGGCAAGCCAGTTGACCTGACCGTCACATTCTTCATGACAAGGTTCCGGTCTCTGGTCAGTCCTCTCACTCCGGAGCCGCTCTTCACCCAGAGCGCAGAGCCACCCTCCTCGCCACTGCTGAACACAGGCTGGAATTCCCTTGTGATCGCAGGTGGGCATCGGTGGCGGATGGTGGTCGCAGCCGATTTTAGTGTTGCCTAGGGCAGCACAAGGGGTAACTATAATGCTGATGGGATTGCCCGTGTGCAAAGTCATGGTCACTATTCCGTACTCTTGCTCTTGGACCTCTCCGCTGCCTTTGACACAGTTGATCACCCCTCCTCAAAAAAAACTCCATTTACTTGGTCTCCGTGACTATGCTCTCCATTGGTTTTAATCTTACCTATCTCACCGCACCTTCAGTGTCACTTACAACTCTACTTCCTCCTCTCCTACTCATCTTACTGTCGGGGTCCCCCAAGGTTCTGTCCTTGTACATCTTCTATTCTCAATCTACACTTCTTCCCTGGGTCAGCTGATGGCTTCCCATGGTTTCCAATACCATTTCTATGCTGATGACACACAAATATATCTCTCTACTCCTCAGCTCACCCCTTCAGTTTCTTACCGTATCACCGATTTACTAACAGACATATCAGACTGGATGTCACACCACTTCCTAAAAATCAATCTATCCAAAACTGAGCTCATAATATTTCTTCACCCACATGCCCCTTCACCTGATTTCTCAGTCATGATCAATAGCACCAATACCAACCCATCCCTGCATGCCAGGGTGCTAGGTGTAACCCTTGATTCTGAACTATCCTTTCAGGCCCACATCCAATCCCTGTCCAAATCATGCCACCTCAACCTCCGCAACGTCTCCAGAATACGCCCCTTTTTAACCAATGATACCACGAAGCTCCTAATCTACTCCCTGAAAATCTATTGCCTCGACTACTACAACTCCCTCCTCATTGGCTTACCTTTACATAGGCTATCCTCCCTCCAGTCCATCATGAATGCTGCCAGGCTCATCCACCTTACCAACCATTCAGTGTCTGCTACCCCTCTCTGCCAATCCCTCCACTGGCTTCCACTCGCTCAACAAATAAAATTCAAAACAGTAACAACTTACAAAGTCATCCACAACTCTGCCCCCAGCTACATCACCAACCTGGTCTCAAAGTATCAACCAAACTGCTCTCTCCAATCCTCCCAACACCTTCTGCTCTCTAGTTCCCGTATCACCTCCCATGCTCGCCTCCAGGACTTCTCCCGAGCTTCTCCCATCCTATGGAACTCTCTACCCTAATCTGTCCGGCTGTCTCCAAATCTACCCACCTTTAGACGATCCCTGAAAACCTTTCTCTGTAGCCTCTCTACCAGTCTGATTATGTCAGCATTTCTGTGCTCAAATCGGTACATTTTTTGCATGCAAATATGTTGTTTTTTTATTGTAGGCCTGTAGATTTTAGGAATAACTCACTGAAATCTGTCCGAACAAGAGTCTAGTAAACATTCCGGGTATGAAAAAATTTGAAACACGAAATCATAAATTATAGTTTAATAAATAATCATAAAAAATAATAATATAATAATAAATGTAATTCAATAATATAATCAAACCAAAAACACTGAAATTTGAAATAGTAGCGCCAAGTTCGCACATCACTGAGCAAAGTCGCAAAATCATTTTCAGTGTCTGATGACGAATTTCCCCACGAATCATTATCACTCAATTCTGCAAGTAGTTCTAATTTACTATCGCTGTTCTCTAGCTGGTATAAAACCGCTTTTGACCTAAAGGGACACTTTTTGGACACCATGGACATTTCTCAGTTTCCAGGCAGAAAGAACAGTAAAAATGCAGGCAGGGCACAGGATAAAGCACTAGGGACAAAATTTATGTGAAATGGTTTGATACAGTAATGTTTTACTATGTGATTTTAGTGTATTTAGTGAATGTCACGACGTTGCAGGGAATGGAACCCAGAAGACAGATGCCGGCATCAGCTGGAGGAGATGGCCGGGGACGCTGCAGTGGGGACATCGCAGGAGCGAAGGGCAAGGTTAAGTGCAGAAGGGATCCCGGAGCAGCGCTGTAAGGTATTCCCAAGTGTAGCTCGGGGTTACCGCTTGTGGTACTGAAACTTTACCCCGAGCTACACTCAGGAATACCTCCAGGGAGGCTAAAGAAGTCTGTCCTGCTTCTACCTAGTAAACTGCCATTTATTTCCTCCATCAGCTCATCCCCCCACAGCTATCACCTTTTGTATCACTTAATCCTTCCTCCTAGATTGTAAGCTCTAACGAGCAGGGCCCTCTGTTTCCTCTTGTACCAAATTGTATTGTAACTGTAATGTCTACCTTCATTTTGTAAAGCACTGTGCAAACTGTTAGTGCTATATAAATCCTGTATAATAATAATAACATCTATTCATGCAGTGTGAGCAAACACTGCCCTCTTATGGGTGTACGTTTAAGTACATAGCTTTACATTGGTGGTCAGTGGGAGAAGGACTTCCTCACATTAGTGTGAGGGGGTGAATGCCACTCAAGACCGATCCCCAGGAGTCAGGCAATAAACACCATACATAAAATGGCCTCTGCCCCAGTCTAAAACTGGCCTTCACAGCAAGGAGCACACCAAACAAAGAAAGGCCACTGCCCCAGTCTATAACTGGCCTTCACAGCAAGGAGCAAATGGAAGGGCAACGCATGTCAATCAACAAAAAAGAAAAATTCCCAGCTCTAACTTGCCAGCCAGCCTGCAAACAAACCCAATTAACTGTCTAACAGTATGCGTTAAAAACCGGGGTTTAGTTAGCACACATTTGCAAACATATGCGTAAGCTACAGAGCCTCGTCACGGCACCCCAGTATTCTGTAGTTCCTAACTCCAATTTTAAGAGCCCCCATAGTAGAGGCACATGTATTTAATGGATAGACCAAGGGCAGATGGACCTGAGGGAGCCCACCCCAGTTTGTTTGTAAACTGGCTGCCAAGTAAGAGCTGGGAATTTTTCTTTTTTGTTGTTCTGGCCAGGGTTAAATGTGTTGGAGGGTGTGGCCAGAGCGGCGGCTGTGGCCATCTACTACATGGCGTTCGTTGCCTGACTCCTGGGGATCGGTCTTTAGCGGCATTCACCCTCTCACACATTACCAAGTCTCTGGAGTAACTTGGGATGCTGCTCGCTTCTCTTATCTGCCAGCAGGGTGACTATAATCTGTAACCAGCCTTGAGCAGTGCCAGAAGCTTTCAAAACGGTTCCTCACATTAGTGGTCACTGAGAGAAGGACTCCCTTACATTGGTGGTCAGTGGGAGAAGGACTTCCTAAAATTGGTGGTCAGTGGGAGAAGGACTTCCTCACATTGGTGGTCAGCCAGCCTCTTCTTAAGAAGTGTCAATATGACCAGCATGCCTACTTGTTTCTGGAGAGGGATTATGGTAAATATCACTTGTTTGATCCTTACCAGAACTGTAAGCAAGGCATAGCAGTTAAGATGGTCATAGTCCTTAAAGGTCGTATGGGTTCCCTGTAGATCTCCAGATCAGGGATCCTGGAGATCTTCAGGTCATATGCAAATCTGGGAAGAAAGGACCTTAGTCCTGACAGGATGAAAAGCTTTCTAGATTCTACTTCAGTATTGGGAAATAGTACATTACCTCTGATGGATCTGTCAGAACCAATTTCAGTGGATGAGGTAGTTCAAGCTATTGCGAAGCTGGCTATGATTTTCGGATGCATTACTATTGTAATTCGGAAATTCAGATACATCCAAATTTCCACTTAATGAAAAATGTATCCGAATTTCGTTTTGGTTTTGGAACAAAACGAACTGCACGTCTAGTTGGCTCTGGTGTGCGCCAGGGGTGTCCTCTGAGCCCTCTGCTATATGCATTTGCTATCAACCCCTTCATAAGAAGGCTAGAGGACAGATCATTATGCAGAGTGCATTGGGCATTGCTGGTGTGCCGCCTTTGAGGGTCATGGCATATGCTGATGTTGTATCTGTTATCTCTGGGACAAAGGAGGTGCAGGAGTTGGTCTCTGTGATAGAACAGTATACGGAGGCTTCTGGCTATAATGTGAACCATGAAATTAGTAAAGTTTTCTGAATGGGTGAGGGGGGTGAAAGCTTTGAACTTCTGGATGCCTTCCCAGAGCCCCAGAAGGAAATTAAAGTGATGGGTATCAAATCTGATCCTGGTGACTATAGTCCTCGAAATTGGGAAAGCAGGTTGGTGGATACCAATGCCAAAGTAGCAAGCCGGAAGAAATGGAAGCTTTCCTTGAGGGAGAGGGTTGACTTGATCAAAACTTACCTGATCCCAATCTTTATATGTCAGATCCCTCTGTATCTTGCCGGAATCTCTGTATGCAAGCTGTTTTTTCCATCTTGTATGGGGAAATAGGCTGAAACTGATCACGCACACTGCAACTTACCTGTCCAGAAGGGTGGCATAGCAATGGTCA